AGAGATCGGATCAGCGTTTTGCGTAGCCCGTAAAATTTGAAAAATTCTATATCGCTTATTAAAAAATTATTAAAAATTAAAAAAAAACATATTGTATATAATATGTTATACTTATCGGCCCCCCGTCTCGGCTTCGCCCAAGACTTACTAAATGGAGCACCGTAGTGGTTGACATGTAATGTGAAACGTTTTCAGTTAAAAATTTTACATTTATTTCTGACCCTTTTTACAACAAAAATCTTTTTATTAAAAACATTTTTGTTTGCAATCCATTCGGTTTATTTGGTGAAATAATAAGCTGTGAAAATAAAAAATAAAAAGTAATTATGCTGAAAAATAAAGTCTTTTAGTCAACGAATAATGTTTTCGAAAATGGTAGTAAAATGTATTTGTTGTCAGGATAGTTTAAACTTAGGTGGCCCTTAAAAGAACTGATGAAATTGTTGGTTAAGTAGGGAACGTACATACTTTCTCAGACGTTTCGGCCTATTATAACCGCACTTATTTAATTCTGTTGCAGGTAGCTTCGATTGTATGTCGACGCAACCTATTGTATTCTACTGAACTAAAGTTTAAAGCAGGTGTATTTTTACAAAACTTTGAGCTTATTTATTTCTATTGTTATTAAATTTTTCAAGATAAAAACCATACTAAAACCATCTAGGAAGTGTTAAGAAACGGTTTGTAAAATTTCAGCAAAATCAGTTCAGTAGTTTTTGCGGTTAGCGATTACAACGCTTTTAGCAACTTTGCTTTATATAATAGTAAGATAAAAAGTAAGAAGTAAGATAAGATAAGATAAGAAATATTTACATGTGTATATGCTATTTATACAATACATATATGAATTTAATTTTATATATATATATATACCAGCTGAATATCAGTAACTCAGCATGAGCAAATAATACATCAAAAAAGGAAGTTTTACTTGAATCTTACGAACCCTTTTTTATAAAGAAAAGTTATTAAAACCTGCAAATTCTTTGGTTGATAATTGAATCTACTTTTCATTTTTTTCAATCCATCCGATTTAACAATTTTTTTTTTTTATTTGTTGTCACAATTTTTTTGTAATAATTAAATATTGTGGCAAATCAAAATGAGCACTGGCAACCGAGTTTATTTG